AGGAATAGAGATAGGCAGTAATGAGAGAAGAAGGAGAGCAAATATGTGTGGATTTAAAAAGAAATAGGTGGGGGGATAGCGAGAGGGATAAAAAGAGATGCACACGCGCTAACACTAATGGATGGATAGAATATATAGACAAAGAGAGGGGGGGTAGACAGAGGAGAGAGAGAGAAAGAGAGAGAGAGAGAGAGAGAGAGAAAGAGAGAAACTTAGGGGTAGTCGAACGTACGACAGAGCGTACAGAGTTGATGAGGCTCCACAAGTGCCCAACGTGTACCCGGGGAAAGCGCCACACGTTGCGACCACGAGATTGCATTAACATAAAGACAACATTATTTCCTCGATGATTCGATGATCTGCCTCGGGGAAGATCTAAGACCTTTTCTAAGGGAAGAGCTCTCCCGGTGTTGCTTCTCGTCTGTGATCGGCGTATGGAGATATCCTAATCCTGGGAATGACCACAGGCTGGTCTTTGTCCACTTCACGTATGGCATTTTTTAATGGTTTGGGTTTACTATAACTTCAGCCCCTGTTAGGTTTAATTAGTAGTCATGACCTGAAAATTAACGTCTTTCTCTGAATGGATCGAGTTATGAAAATTGTCCAAAGTGAGCAAGTTCAAGAACACATAGGGGGATTTTTCTCTCTTCTGGGATACATCATCGGCGTCTGTGGTGCAGCGGTTAGGTGACCTGAGTTCGATTCCCTTGCAGGGAGAATTTCCTTCCTGTTTTTCGATAATTTTCACTGCTGAGACGTTGTATCCCTCTCAACCCGGGTTGACGGTGACAAACAGATTTGAAGCCCGCCTTTTAACTGATCTAAATTGTGTCGATGGCGGCAAATAAATAATAGGCCTACATTTATTAAAGAATGGGATCCATCATCCTATACAGGCGAGGTTGTTCTTGACAGATTCAACGCAGCCCACCCCTTACGTGACCTGGATTGTAACCATGAGGGTGCAAAACATGTTACTATCTGAATGTGACCGTCTGTATGGTGTCTCGCCATAAAATAAAACTCGGTGCCAGCCCCGTCTTGACTCATCGTGCTGGTCATATTATTCGTCCCTGTCTGTCTATCTGTTTATCTATGTCTTTGTATTGCCCCTCCCCCTTTCTCTCTATCATCTATGTTTTTGTGTTTCTGTCTCTCTA